TATCTGCATGCACTTCACAACATGAATTAACATGTGCTGACAGGCACAGGCAGGACTACAACACAGGATCAAAAATAGCATTCTTCCTGTTTAGCTCACACACACATCCTTGCCTGTGGATATCCTATGAGGACATTGAAAACTTTTTTCCCTCTCTTTTTCTGTGCGTGTGGCTGTCTGTCATGCGTGACAAGTCATGTTAGCGAACAAAACAAAGCAGAAGTCAGCCTACAATGGCTAATAAGATGTGAAAGCCAAGGCATGATGCATCCACTAATAAACAAAGACTGGTGAGAGCTGAAATGGTTATAAGATATAACCACACGAACACCTGAAAAAGGAAGGTAACTTATTTCAGAGAAGCGGTCAAAACCTTTATCATAACAAGAATACAACTTCCTGAAAATGCATTTAGTTTCACCTTTTATCTCAAACTCCAACTAATGCCTGATGTGATGTTTCATTTGGGATTAAACACGTTTACAACACATTTATCATCATGGTTTGAAGTGGTCTCATTGTAATGCAACACAGACAGATCTCTGATTGAGGAAGTGCAGCTGCAGAAGTGTGAGGGGCATGAACTCATTCAACCCCATGCAGTTTGTGCAACTGACCTCAGCATCTGGACAAAATGCCTTACCTAACCTGAATGTCCAGACAACTCACAGACATCCCCTGTGTCTAAACTGTGGAGCTCACTTCCTTTTAGAAACAGAGGTTCAACCTCATGAGACCACAGAGCTTTAGATTCTCACCCGGTAAGCCTAAGCTATACTTCTACAATAAGTCAACATGCAAGAATAGAGCTTTCAAACAATTTGCTTTTTGCACCCATTTGATCTCTGCCCTTTGTACAACAGAGAATGCATAATGCTAAAATAAAAACGTTCTTCAATACCACCTGTTACTTTGGGTAACCAACTGTGAACCTCCTCAGCTCAACAAACAAAATTAAAGTATATTTTCATGAAACTCAGTGAAAATGTGGTCAACAGAAAACAGTACAAATAATGTTTAAGAGGGCTATCAATAAAAACACTTTCCTTGTCATGAGACATTTGTATTTACCCCAATTTGGTGTCAACTGGGCTTAATTTAATATCATCAAAGAAGGAGATACACTGATGTAGCTGAGTATGGTTGATCATACTTGGAGCTTGATCAACATGTCCCTACAACACAACAATAAAAAAGGGCCTTGTCTACTTGTGTTTAATTATGACTGAGCCGTTTGGTAAGATCATAATTATTTTTAAACTGAGGCAACCTGTGTACTTCCACCAGGACAACTTCAGAATCTCAGCAGCACAGATCACGTGTATTATAACAGGGAGAAATCACACACACACACACACACACACACACACACACACACACAAATCTGTTTTTCTTTTTTACATTACACACAATTTTAGTCCAGTAGAATTCTATACAACAACAAAAAAATCATATAGAGATAAACAAAACAAAAAACAACACAGACAAACATTTTATCCTACAAAATTACACACACACACACACACACACACACACACACACACACACTTTTTCATAAATCTGTTTTTCTTTTTTACATTACACACAATTTTAGTCCAGTAGAATTCTATACAACAACAAAAAAAATCATATAGAGATAAACAAAAAAACAACAACACAGACAAACATTTTATCTTACAAAATTACACACACACACACACACACACACACACACACACACACACACACACACACACACACACACACACACACACAGAGAGAGAGAGAGAGACAAAATGAAAGTTTTGACATGCTCTGACAAGCTTCCGTGTGTTTCCCAAACTGTCAACATACTAGAAACTTCAACAATGAGCAAATATTCAGAATTTCTTAACGCCGACTTCACTTTCAGAAGGCTTTTCGGCTGCGGTTTAACTTCCGTTAACAGAAAGAAGTCAATGTTATAATAGTCAACATGTACTACTTGGACTAAAAACAATGTTCTGTATCATACATAAACCTACACCAGACCGTCAAACGCTGGACACAAGTTAACAAACAGCTAGCCTAAGTTACTTAATCGTGACGAGAACACGGTGAGGTTTCCATGAACATCACGTACCGTACAGTATTGTGATGCGGCGTTCATCTATGTCCGAAGGTCCAGAGGGGATGTTTCGCTTTCAACCATTTAAACAGTCAAAAATGTCCGAACAGTTTTCCAGTTATCTTTTGTACAGAAGTCGCCAAAAAACCACAAATCTGAAAGTGTACTTTCTCGCTGCCCGATACGCGTCTGTCAAGTAAGAGAAGCAGGAAACATCAGTCTTCCCTGGTCGTAAAAAGTTCCAATGAAATTTGTCACGGGACCGCACTACTGCAAACCGTCACTCACCGTCGGAGGTGATATAACGGAGCACATCCGGTACGGCTTTTCAAAATAAAACCAAGGACATTATTAACCAAGTAAAGAAATGTTAATTATATGCTACAGCACGCAGTTTTCAGGAAAAGTAATTTACTTGATGTAACTTTATTTCCCTATCCCACCGCATTTAGGAATAAGACACACTGGCTAGTTACTCATCTACATTTAAAAGCAAAGCAGGTTTTAGACAACAGATAGACTACTTAATTTGTACCTGTCCTGTTCAACTGATTTTATGAAGAGCGTATGATATTTTAATTCAGTAGGGCATTGGCCTACAATGCAAATATGGCATTCATTATGAAACATTTATGTCTCCTGAAGGTCGACGTCCTGGGGCATTTGCCCTCTTTGCCAAACTGGAAATCAAGCCTTATAGTTTGTATTTTATTTTACCCCTTAAAAAACGGTTGAATCATCTTTATTTAATAAGATCTAATTGAATCTGAATAAGTTTAGTTTTGCAGTTTGTTGTACAGATGATCTTTACATACGGAGTAAGATTGTACAAATAACTGTTGTAACTCATAGGCCTAGTTTGTACTTTTTATTTTTATTTTTTTACAATAAATATATACAGTATATTGGGAGTAAGTTAAGCTTGTTCGAAGTCTTAAGAAACCTAAATAGTTTTATTTTGTAATTTGGTAAAAAAAATGTGTTTTGTAAATAATGACAATTTGGTGATAGCACTTGTTTGTTTTGAGTTAACACAATTGTTGGTTTTACTTTGTAAAGCATATAATTGATTTCCGGTGTTTTTGGAAGTTTACTTGACATCTACTTTTAAACACATGAATGACAACATTGAGGAGTCAAACAGTGTCACCTAATGGTAGAAAGGCATGCCTTAAAAATTTATCAATAGTTACATTTTACCGCCAGAAAAAAAAATATGAATGGTTTGAGAGCAGCGTGTGATTAATTATCACTACGTCAATAAAATATCTTAATATGTTGAACTTGATAAAAAAAAAAAGAATGAACGACTGGTAAGTCAAACTTGTGAGATAATATCTCAGAGTTGCGTACAAAAAAATGAAGAAATGATAAACACATTTCACCTCTTAAATGCAGTCACTACTATCCGCTGTCATAACATATATTATATAATATTAATTATAATAACGACAGCATGATAACAATAATGTCAATAATAAAAAGGCTGTGTATTAAGTACACCTACCAGTATATTGTATGTAGATGAATAGCCTAATCAAAAGAGATTTTGTATTAATGTCTAGAAATTAGGGCTGGGCGATATGGACCAAAACTCACATCTCGATATTGTTTAGCTGAATGGCGAATACTCGATATATATCGATATGTATTTTATTAACAGTGAAAACACATGGAAAAATAAACTACAGGTTTGTGAATTTAAAAAGTAATAATATAAAACAAAAATGTTCCTTAAATACAATAAAAGAGAGCGAGAGAGGAGGAGCAGGACAGACAGAGGGACAGGCAGTCAGTCATTATCAGTGAGAGGAGAAAAAAGTGACCTGGCACCTCGAGAACGTTATTTTAATGCAACTTAAACTATATCGATATTAACGATATTGTCTTACCCTATATCTTGTTTGAAAATATATCAATATAGCTTAAAAACTCGATATAGTTCCCAGCCCTACTAGAAATCGTATAGGCCTATCTGTAGAAATGGTAGACCGACAGTCTTTGTTTAGACTTCACATGCATTTAACCTATACAGAGTACGTTGGCCTATTTATTATTTTAAAGGGACTATGTTAAACACAATACATATATGTTGCCATTTGATGATTTGCACCAGAGTTCATTTTCATCTGGAGGCACTTGGCAGGTTACAATTGCGTCAAATAAAAAAAGCAGAATGTAAAAGCTTTGTCCACACGGTGTCAGCAAAGCTCGTTTTAAATGAGCTGCTTCATGTACCTTGGATATAAAGTAACTGCCTGTCAAAGCCAAATTAATATTGTCTTGTGCATTATGCGTTTGAATGTGCATTCACTAAAACTTTGTATGAATCTCTATCTGCATGGTGCTTTAAAATAAATTAAACGTCATATTTATTATGTTTAACTAGACAACAAAATTATGTAAATTATAAGGCATATTGGTATCAGAAAGAAGTAAAAAGGTAGATGTAGAAACCCTCCAATAGGCTCATTTATATGCACTGCCCGGTTAATTACGCACTTCACTTGCTCTGTAGAATACGAAACAAACTATTACCAATAAAATAAACACGTCTAACATCAAAGAGCAGTGACATAACATTTGTGATTGGCTTGCCTCAAGTAAAATTGTGGCGCTTATATCCCCCTCAAGGGCCCCCTGAAAGCCCCCCCAACACCCCCCACCTCAATAATGAAAAGAACCATTCTACTGAAAAACGTGACGGAGCGGTGTTTCAACATAGCGCCCGCCTCCTTTACATCGCGACCAATCGAACTGAACCACTCCCCGTTTCGAGCCAATCACACACGACCTTCTCCTCGTTTTTTGACCTATCAGTAACCAATCAGAGACGAGGCCGCCTGTGTAGAGGGCTGGGCGCGAGAATCGGCGGGATGGACAAAAATCATAATGCCAAATAGAAGTACAGACAATTAAGAGAGGGACAGCCAAGGACAGCGAGCTATGAAAGTAATGTGCTGTGCTCTTCTACGTTATATCGGCTTTTTTAAATACGATATTGCATCTTTAGAAGGTAGTGACACACGAGGACATACTGACTATTTTGGTTGAAATGTTATCTGCGGTGAGACGGGCGTTTACTTTGACACCGTAATGTTATGGACTGTACATTAAGTTAGCTCACTGGCTAGCCGAACAGTGCTGGCTAGATGCTCTGGAGGAAACAAGCGATGACTGACAACGAATTCTATGGATGCACGTCTATTAATATGGGATTTTATTAAGCTGCGAAACAGAAGGTTCGTCTTGGAAAAGGTTCAACCATCCTACCAGCTGTCATGGACAACGCGAAGCCACACAGGTGGGTTTACGAGGCGATGATAACACAGTGCTGTTTGATTATTCTGTATGCCACAGTCACCTGAGCATCAATGCACCTCTTTAAGTAAGTATTGTTATCCATGTCCTGGCTTTCACACTTCATCATGTTTTTATTATTGACAACATTACCACCCTGCACATGCACCTGCACCTGCACCTGCACCACCGTACTGTATGGCAAGGTGAGCTGATGGAGGGGTAATAGTACTACAATAATAAATGTCATGATGGCTGTTAACCTACCTCTACCTGAGATTCAGCACTTTTAATATGCGAGACGCTTTACTTGGGAAAAATACAGTTTGTCATGAATGTCTCTTTTTCATAAGTGATGTGGCTTTGCACCATTGTTTGTGACATTATGGACTATTTTGCAGTGATGTAGGCAGCATCATTGGAAACAATTGTTTGAAAGTGACATGCCACTCAGATTAGATACACTAAATATAACTTCTACTTCAGTTGTCTGTTTTTTTTTTTCCTTCTGAAATAGCACATGATCAAATATTTCATAATATAAGACAAAAAGTTGTATCAGGTAACCATTCTGAAACACAGTTTCCTCCAAAACACTTAAGGCAATGTGGAAAGGTACTAAAGAGTCCCTAAGGTAATTGTTTTAATTTAAAGACTTAAGCATAAAACTTATATTTATAGCATTTATTTATATTTATAGCATCCCATTAATCCAGCCATCCAGATATACCTAATAATTCACTTTTTTTAGTCTACATCTGTAAATTTTGTAATTACTGTACCTAGCACAGACTCTTGCACTTTCTGCTTATTTGCACTTCTGGTGAGATGCCAAACCTCATTTCGTTACTCTATACTTGTATATGTGTAATGACAATAAAGTTGAATCTCATCTCATCTCATCTCTCTCATCTCATAAAACTGTACTTGAGATAACTGTAGGGTTTGTGTTAAGTTTGACTGTTTTTCTGTGCTTCTTCAGTATTCATCAAAAACAGCCAGTTGCACAATAATACGGATATTTGCCATCAAGTGTCATGATTATACGTTTCAAAACACAGCATTAATTCCTAAAAGATAACTAACTTAATCTATTTCTATATCAACTTTAATGGTCGAACATTTTCGTATGCATGGAAGCTGGAGTAACTCCAGCTCATCACTTGTGTAGATTTTAAGTGTTCTTGTTTATATCTCTTTTAAAAAATAACTTGGGGGAGGAAACAGTAGACAATACAAGGTAATTAAAGATAATGATAGAGACCTCGGTTAACAGATTGACTGTTAAATAATTGTTTGGTGCAGCCTTTGCAATGCTTCCACTGAAGTCCGATTAACTATTGAATTAACTGTTTATGACTCATCGATACTACTCACCTACTCCTTGAGTCACATTCAGAGAGATGGATGTTTTTTTTTTTTTCCCTTTGCAAGAACAACAAGTGCTTAGTAAATTGATGTTTATTTGTTATACTTCTACTGAGGTGTTCAGCTGATACAACATGTTTTCCCTTTATACCCTTTGAAGTACATGTATTTTATTCTCATGATTACAAACTGAAGAAGTAGGTAAATAATGAGCTAAACCAAATGCGAAGAGGTTATATAACCCTGTTTTTGAAACTTTTTGAATAACTGGACCGTTAGTACTTTGCCAGTCCCCTGACCACACCTCAGCTCACTGCCTCCTCCTTCATGAGACACACACACACACACACACACACACACACACACACACACACACACACACACACACACACACACACTTCTGGAGGTGAAAAGACCTGTTGATGTAGGATCCCCCCCCTCTCCTCCTGCCCACTCACTCACCTTCTTCTTATACAGCCTCCAGTTCAGACTCACTTTCCGACTTCTTCTTTGCCCCTGATAGGAAATCAAGCTTCACTAGAAGTCAATCGCCATGTTCGAACTTCCACATTTTTAGGAAACTGTTACTGTAATACACTGTCTGATACTTTACCTGAGGAGAGCACTTTTCCCCTTTTGTGTGTTTCTGATGGCAAAGACCTAACAGCTCTCTGGAACAGCTAACGTAATTTCTCCTCCATTTATTAAACTCCTCTCTTGTACCTCAAAGAAAGTGTTGCCCAGCAGCAAGTTTTATGGGAACACAGAAGTACAGTGTAAGCTGCCAACTTCTTGTGTCAGTACAGAGGAATTTTGTGTTCTTAGTATGCAGTCATACAAGTTTCTTTCTCTCTGTTTTTTCCTTTTACTCTGACAAGTTTTATTAAAAGCAGGCCTTCCCTCTAATACCTAGTCCTTTTTATTATTATTTTGTTTCACATTTAGACCCCTGCAATTTTACAATGAATCCCTAATTTTGCATTAATGAGACATTTGTCAGATTGTTTAATCTACTCCTTTATATTTTGTACATAATCTGTATATCAGTGTATTTTCCTTTATTCTGCCTTGTGGGCTTAAATCTGACTCTAAGTGTGATGTGAGTTTTGATAATGTGTGCTAACCAGTTTTTTCATTCTTGAATCCTATTTAGACATGTTAATATGACTAAAAGCTTAATTTACATCTATTTTCTTTTTATTACCTCATCTGGCTCAATATTGTTCCACAACAAGGAGCTCTATTCTTGGTAATTCTCTGTGAAACTTGAAATTAAAATTGCCAGGTGTCAAGTGAGTTCTGGTGTGCATGCATTAGATAGAAGGAACAACCCAACCAAATGTTGACTATATCAAAACAAACTAAGGTTATGGTTCCAATGCCTGTATAAGCAATTTTGCTGCAATGCGTTATCACGACAATACTCCTGCTTTCTATGTCCTTATACAGAACTCTACTTTGGCCCCACAATAAAATCTGCTCTCTTTTTATTTCTAGCAATGATGAGGATGACGAGCTGCACTCTACGGATCCAGAGAGTAAAGAAAACAGCAAAGATAAAAAGACCCTGTGCAAAGTGAAGTGGTCCCGGGATGAGGTAAGTTCTGCAGGTTATTTAAGTGAGTTTAATGGAAAATCTTAATGAATTTGAGGGATATTGTTTTCACTCTCCTTTTTTTCCTCAGGATGAAAAGCTGAAAAAACTTGTCGAGCAGCACGGAACAGACTCCTGGAAACTAATTGCTAACTTCTTTCCTGTAAGTATTAAATACGCTGTGTCTAAATGATGTGATATGAAAGTAATATGGTACTGCATCATGCTGTCTTGGTCAATTTCTTTTCGTTTAAATTGTTATGGATCATTTAAACCATTTAGTCATCTGATGATTAACCAGGATGGTAGTTGACTGGAGAGGCCTTATTTACAGCTGTCGGGAGTAGGTGTAACATCAAGGTGTTGTTGTGGTGTAATGAGGTGTTGTGCTTTATGTGTGTCTGTCACAGGGGAGGACAGATGGGCAGTGTCAGCACCGCTGGCAGAAGGTGCTCAACCCGGAGCTGGTGAAAGGACCGTGGACAAAAGAGGAGGATCAGAAGGTAAGAGGAGCTGGGAGTTTCCTGTTCTAAATAGAAAAAGGGGTGGCTTAATGGGTAAATGATAGCAGAGACAGAAGGATGCTGCAGGGAGAGTGGAAATCTGCTCAGTATAAGTAGAAGAACACAATACAAGCACAAATACCACACAGTATTTTTTACCAGCATGCTATCAGTGGGCAAGCCCTCTTCCCGCCCAAACCTTCTTAGCCTGCCTCAGCTTTTTTTTTTGTGTGTGTGTGTGTTCTTCTAATTTGCAGTTATTTCTCCACTACGTCATTACTAATAAAACACAGACCCTCCTAGTCACTACATCAGAGTCCAGCCCTTATTTATACTGAGTGTAGCTCTAATATCTTCCTCCGCTCTAAAATGAACAATGCATTCCTTAAATAGATTCCAGAATGTCAGGAATGGATTCCTCCAACATCATGGCATCCTAACAGACCTATCAATGACAGTGTGGACTGCCAATAATGACATCACTACATTTTTATGCCCAGACAGAAGAGCCAAACAAGCTCTGCTGCTACAACAGCCAAAGCTTTCCTAACAGCATGGAAAAATGTTATTTCCTTCTTTACTTTAGCTTGAAGTTTAAATTAATCAAATCAGGGCTTTATTCAGTTCTTTCATAAGACAAAAGATGAGGACACAACAAGAATATTTATGTAGTGTATAGAATCTCAAACCAAATTAAAAGGATGTTCAGCAACTTTCTCTTTCCAACTTTCAGGTTATAGATCTGGTGCACAAGTATGGTCCTAAACGTTGGTCTGTGATCGCCAAGCACCTCCAGGGCAGAATTGGGAAGCAGTGCCGTGAACGGTGGCACAACCACCTTAACCCAGAGGTGAAGAAGTCTTCATGGACTCAGGAAGAGGACAGAATCATCTATGAAGCCCACAAACGACTGGGAAACCGCTGGGCAGAGATCTCCAAGCTTCTTCCTGGACGGTAGTATGATCTTATGTGTGCATTGCATGACTCTAATTCTCCTTCGAGTCATTCAAATAACTCAAAATGGTCTTGGTCCTTTTTCTAACAGGACGGACAACTCCATCAAGAACCACTGGAACTCCACCATGAGGAGGAAGGTGGAGCATGAGGGGTACCTTCAAGACAGCTGCAAGAGTTACACTTCTTCTCATGCTGGAGTAAAGAGACGACACCACAGGCCATGTCCTTCAACTCCAACTGAGCCCCAGCAGTGTGACCGCAGCCCCCTGCCTTTACCCGGACCAAATCAGGTTCACTTACTCTCCAGATCCCATTCTATGTGGTCTTTTCTTTAAGTTCTTATCTTTATGTGTATTTGAATATGACTCTTTGTATTTTAGATAGGGGGATATCCTTATGACCCTCACAGCGGGCACTTGATGGACAGTCTTCCTGATAATTCAGGATTCATACAGGTGAGTCTTTCTGCACTTCTTTTGCATGCACGTATCACATTCCTTATTTTCTGAGCTTCCTATAGTTATCCTTGTGATTGCTAACACTGGACTTCAAATCAAAACCCTTGAATGTCCTGTCAGTTTTACTTAACATTTCTGCAAATTTGGGGGAAATCTTAAATACTCCTGTATATATTCTTTTGTGTATGTTTATGTTTTTCATCTGTTTTTTCCTAACTTCCTTCTTTCCTCCTATCCTCTGGAACTCTCCTCCCCGATGTTTGTTTATTTCAGCCATCCTGCCTGGATGATCCTGACAGAGAGCAAAGAATAAAGGAGCTTGAGCTGCTGCTTATGTCAGCAGAGAGCGAAGTCCAACGACAAGCGCAGTGCAGAGGTCCATGTGTAAGAACACACTCCGAATGTGTGTTTGCATACCTAGTCAGCATAGCCTGTGCTGTTTGTAGCACTGTTTGTGTTTGTAGCTTACATACACTGTAAAAAGTTTGACAATGGTCATTTTAAGCCTTAAATCTATTGTTTAATTAAACAATGAGTCTTAAAATCCAATCAAAGAAAGATAAGGAGAGAATTTTCTTGACACAAGTCTTGTTTTCTATGTGTACATTTAACATGTTTATAAAAAATGTACAACTCCAATCTCCTCAGTGGACTTCTCTTGTTCATGGAAAAGATTTTTAGACTTAAAATTGAATGACTCGGTGTGCCGGACTTTTTGCAGTGTATATGTATGAAAAATAGAATGGCGCACATGTCTGTGTGTGTGTAGCCTGATTTGCTGTAGTGTTACTATAGAAACCGCCTTCCCATCTTGCAATACTCATACAGACTGGCCTGAGGCTGTGCTTGGTAGCCCCCCCCCCATCACCACTGCTCAGAACATGAACCTGCTGCCTTCCTTATCCCCTCAAGCCCTCAACCCCTGTGCTCACGCTCAGCCAGCAGTTTGAGTTGTGCACTCCCCCTCTGACTCCTGTTCCTGTTTTGTTCTCCCTTTCATCTTTATCCATTCATGTCATAAGTCATTCAGTGACTTCATATCCAATGATTGAATGGTGAAGATGTGATTGACTTGTAGCAGCATCACCAGTGTTTCGCATACTTCACTGTTCATTTTACATCTGGTGCAAACGTCTTGTGGTGTCAGAGATCTAACCCCTGTGGACTCATCCTGCCTCCTCAGAGCTTGGAGCAGTACTCAGCCTGGTCCGACAGTGTCTCAGACGACACACTGACCACAAGTAGCAGCAGCATAGAGGAGCAAGCAGAAATAAGGTCCTGGAGGGGCCCTCCACCACCGCTCCCTGTCTCCCCCAGCAAGTTCCTAGCTGTGGAGGCCAACACTGTGCTCTCCACCCTGCAGACCATACCAGAGTTTGCAGAGACCATGGAGCTCATTGACTCAGTGAGTGAAAAGAGCTGGACAAACATCGCATGTATCTATGAATGCATATGTTTCGTAAAAACTCTGAATGTATTAAAAATCTACTGTAGATGTGTTTGGCTCTGCAGGATCCAGTAGCATGGAGCGATGTTGCCGGCTTGGATTTGTCTGAGACTACGACGCCTCCCAGGCACAACCAGGCAGGATACAACACTCTCCTGCAAGAGAGGACGGTTAACAATTCATTGGGCTACTCTCAGACTGCCATCTCTGATCAGGACAAGAATTGTGCTCCGTTCAGTTTGGGCGATGTCCCTGCCCTGACTCCTATCAACTCATCAAAACCCACCCAAGCATCGGTTGGAAGGAGGAGGAGAAGAGAGAAAGGGGAGCCATCCCCTTTGTGCAACAGAACCTGTTCCCCCTTCTCGGAAAATATCTCAACTTCTCCCAAGAAAACTCCCACAAAGTTACTGCCGTTCACCCCATCACGAGTAAATGACATATTTTTAATTAACACATCCTGTGTCATGGTATAGACTTACCGAGGTTGCATTGAGGTCAAGTCGCTAACATGTCTGTATTTTCCCAGCTCTGCAACATATCAGGGATGGAGCACTTAAATCTGGATAACCCTGCTCTCACCTCAACTCCTGTGTGTGGACAACGTTGTCTCCTAAACACGCCACTCCAAAAGGAAACCACACCCAAGCACCAGAAAGAGAATGATAGGTAAGTAAATATAGTAAAGCAGGATACATGCCACTCAGGGTTGCTATACTTTGATGACATTTTCCAAAAGAATAACCTTACGTTTATCTGATTTTTAAAGAAAGATTTGATGTTCTTTATTTACTTTTAGCCCTCGCACCCCCAAATTCCGTAAAACTGTCATGATTCCAACCCCGAGGACTCCGACTCCCTTTAAAAATGCTCTGGCTGCCCAGGAGAAAATGCATGGACCCCTAAAGATGGAGGTAATAGATGTAATGTTATTGTGTTCATTTCACCTGTGTGTTTTTCATTCTTTCATTCACTTCACACTTCTATCGTTATACAGTATATGGGTTCATGATCTTGTTTTATTTACATGTGTTTTGGCGTTTTCAGCCACAGCCATTGGCATTTCTTGAAGAAGACATTCGAGAAGTTCTTAAGCAGGAGACTGGAGCGGACATCTTTAACAGAGCAGACGTCCAGCCAGACTTCAGAGCATGGAAACATAATGTATGTGTAGCAGACACTTTCCACCATTAATGAAATATATTATTCCTGCTCTCTATTACAAAAAGGAAGATGCACATTTCTTTAGACAAATGCTTGTTAACCCTCTAAGTGTGTTCTCTATTTTGTATTATGTTACTTAAATTTCAGATTGATGGCCCAGCTAGAAAGGTGCGCAAGTCTCTTGTCCTGGACCCATGGGGGAAGGACTGCCTAAACGTCCAACTCTTCCAAGAGCAGCTCAACAAAGCACAAGTAAGTCACCATACTGGTTTTTAATTACAGGTGCAGATCCTGTATTTAGATGAGAAAGCAAACTCATTGACTACCACTGGTGTACACAAGAGCAGGGCATATAACCACAAACAGGTACTGGGTAACTTATCGTATCAAGGTGTGGTTGTGAGTTGAGCTGTACATACTGTAAGGTTATGAAGTCTTGATATTGATTGCAGACTCAGCTAATGGCTTTATAAACATAATCAATAAACAGCTCAATGTTCAGCCTTTGAAATGGTCATTCAGTTAATCAATCACTCAATTTTTATTTGTAGAGCGTCAATTCATATTATCTACAAAGCAGGACCATTCCTTGATTAGTTTGCTGTAGTTCCTCTTTTAATTTCATTTCATATTGCAGGAGTCTGATGAAAACCTACTTCTGAGCTCCTCACTGATCAGCCTAATTCCTGAACAAGAGGAGTGTAGCCGTTCTTTGAATTCAGGCAGAGAGGAGCCCTCCTTGGTCCCAGTTCATCCTAATCGCTTTACCAGCCCCCGAATGAAGAAGCTTCTCGCCTCCCACAAAGCATCAAAACATGCCAATGTACAGGTACGTAAAGAGCGTTCAATTTATATTGATGAGCAAAAGAAACGAGCTGTGTGCTTCCTCGAGGTCTAACATACATGCTGAATGCATTTTCTTTGGTGCAGGTGAGTGAGTGGGAAGCAGTGGTTTATGGGAAGACAGAGGACCAGCTGATCATGACAGAACAGGCCCGTCAGTACCTGAACCCTTACCAGTCGTCCGGCTCTACCTCAAGGGCCCTTGTGCTTTAAAGCCGTCCCCGCTGCACAGGAAACACTACTACACCCTGTCCAACAATGGAAACCTGTAAGAGACAATCCAGTGAAAACATTATTTTTTAAACTTTTAAAGTAGAAATGCACTGCCAAGGGTGTCCACAAAATGAACGGCTGCTGGTATGTTTCATCACATTTCTAGGTCATTGCCAACATAGTCTTTTCCTTGTAGGTTCAGCTTGTTTTTCCTCTAAAAAAAAAACAAACACATGTCAACATTTTGTACAGATATGAAAAAGGCTAGATTTGTTTTCTGCACTAGACAGTAATATTGAAACACACGCACATACAGTAGTCTGTAATTATAGTGTTCTGTCTTTTATTATTAATATATTGTTCAAACGACAAGAAAGACATTTTATAATGCGATGCTACTCGTGTATTTCCTTTAGGTTGTTCAGCTAAACTGCCACATAGCTGCATCAGACAACGACATCTACATGCAAAATGATCTGCTTATAATCGACATCCATGTATTTTTTCACACTATGGGCTTTTAACAAGACACAACATTCAATAACAATAATTGCTTTAAAAATGACAGAAAAAAAAGTGGTTACATAGTTTTTATGGCAGCAGGGTTTATGTAGCTGAATGCCTATCTGCGGTGATGTAAAGTTTCTGAGGATGAAGATAAGAAGCTGTCAGTATTGCACTACTGACTTGATTTTGCTGCTGAGACAGGAGCAGTGTTTTTAAGGGCAAACTGGATAGCACTTGTGACGGTATCTTTTCAAACGACACAGCGTTTCCTTTTCTAAGGCCATAGTGTCCGTCGAGACATCTGTTGAATGTATTACATTGCAATGTACATGTGCGAGAACCTTAAAAATGGAAGGGTACCTGAATGTTTATTTCTGTTTATTTATTATCTGACAGCTCTAAAGCTTAGATTTTTAATATAAATCGGACACCGTGAGTTTCTAAGAAGTTTAACTTTGCTGACAAAACAGCCTAAAAACCCTCTTTAGCTCTAAAGCAGCTCTCTCTCTGTGATAGAGGATGAATGGTCACCATTGTTTTGGTCAGTTTGTTAATGTGTCGTTAACACTTCCTGACCAGTTTTCATATCATCAGTGTTCTACAAAAACAACATCTGGTCAAGAAGGATTGAGTTTTTATGTGAAGGCTGTAGGTTTTATTTATTTAATGTCTAATAATTTATTTATTTCTAAAACAAAATCATTTAAGAGAAATTATTGAAGAATTCTATTGTTTTTTCTCTTTCAAAATCAGGATCGGGCTACCATTCAGTTCCATTACTCCATGTTAGAAGAACATGCACTGCCAATAATTTAATGTGTTCATTCTCTCTTCTGATCAGACACGATCTCTAATCATTGTGTAGTTGTATCTATCATCTTGTAACATTTAGATAGCCCTTTGTTTTCTTTAATGTGTTCTTTGCCATTAGGTAGTAGGACTCCATCTCCGACCTCTAATCATAGACAAATTGCACTTTTTACTCTTCATATAATTTTAAATATTTGTTCGTTCTGACGATGTAGCTCTCGTCTTTATTTTTGTGCTTTGTTTTTTGCGCGTGGGTTTTGTGTTAGATTGTTGTCTCCCCGTTTTTGTAATGAATGCTGACATTGCTGCTCAAATCGATCATGTTCTTTTTCCCTGTTCTGCTGCAGAGATGTGTGCTTTACACTACTTTAAAAGCCTTTTCTACACTGATGGCTGTTTTCAAAATCACAGCAAATACAGAAGCTCCTTTTAGAAGACAAATTAGATCCCTGCAGCAGCCAGGGATTCAAAGACTTTATATCCTGCTGAAATGCAAACCCTTACCCCCCTCACCCCCACTCATTATTTGACACTGTATGAGAACAAAGAAACCTGTAAATATGCACACATTTTGGTTTAATTCTGAAATATCAGACATGCATTGTGCTTCCATGTTAACAGGCTGATGTCCTTTTTAACCATCCAGAAACAAAGCATTCCCTAATCTGCTGAAGTAACGCTACAGCTATAAATGGTCTTCTTGGTATTAACGATGGTAGTAGATCCAGCATTAGTTATAATCTGGATTATCTGGCATTAAGCATCAGAGTGAGAATAAGAAGGGAATCTTATCAGGGGGATTACGTGGAAAGATCAGAAGTCTACGCAACTCTCAAACGTCCACATGAGGAGTTTGTATTTGAATCTGGAGACTGAGATGTGTTTCACCTGTGTATATAATTGTGTCATATTGTGTGTTTGTTGGTTTGTGAAGTCCCAAGTTATTATTTCTGTGCGTTAACAACATTTGGCCATGTGACGTCATAGGTTTTGAGGGAACTGAGAACATATACAGGATAACAGCAGCTGGTATACACTACTGTAGTTATGCATGAGCAATACATAAGATGCTGGACTCTTATTTAATTGAGGGTGAGATGTAACTCGCTCTGTATTTTGTAGCATTTTCAGAAATCATATCATAACTAAGGTACCCTAGAAATCCTGCCAACTGTCTTTGTAATTGTGTTCTTAATATGAAAAAAATAAACGCATATGCTGCATGACTGCTAGTGCATTCTGTGTCTATACTTTTCATGTATGAAATGAAGTGGATTTGTCTCCCTCTGCCAAGCACCCCTGTACAAATTAGTGTAGGTTACAGGGTGTTTCCCACATAATAAAGATTACTGTTGATCATTTAGTTTTGCTGACATCCTCACAGCAGGCACAGCAACTTGTTGAGCCCTTGCCAAAACAGAACACTTGGAAAAAAAAAAAGGTTCTTGGGGAAAATCTTAATCTGCCATTGTCATGTTTGGCTGTTTTCCTCAGGTGCATTTGACAGCCCTGCAGGTCAGTTGTTTAATTTAAGGGGTTTAAAAGTGATAGAGAGGTTTAAGATGCAACCCCCTGTCATGTGTGTATGTATATGTTGCGATGCTGTCAACTTGGCCTGGGGTCCAGGGGACACAAGCCCCCTCCATCAGAACAAGAGGCCTCTCCACAGGGTCAGCTGTTGGCCCTAAAGGGGCCCACTCACCCATGACTTAATGCCCCCTGGCTCCATTGTCCTTAGGCCTGTTGGTTTTTACAGACCCATTCACTCAATTGCCCCCAAACGGAGGGAGGCCAAGGACGTGACGACATGCCTTATGCTGAAGGAGCAGCAGTGAGCATGCATACAAACAATGTGCACGCAAACACGCCGGCGCCGCATGCACGCCATGTCGCCTTAATCAATCTGTCTTCCCTTCGTTCTCGTACAAGAGGGTCTTTTGTTCTAGGGTGACCCGCTCTCAGAGTTGAAAGATGTCAGAAACCTTTTGCCTCTTAATTGGTTATTGGCAGCAGACCCTCAACCTTATGCTTCTTGCGTGTGTTTTAGGGAAGCTATTCTTAGATTATAGTGACTTCATGACAAGCAGACACTTCAGCCTTTTGTAGACATCGTTTTAGTCTTTTATTCTGAGATTTATATTATGAGAATTGGGTTTTTTTCTCTCTTTATTATTGATTAGTATGTAGATGATTTTCACAATAAATTTGTTTACTTGTTTTGACTGTAAAATATCAAAACGTTGGCAAAAATGTCAAAACAAGTTCTTGTGATGTCATCAAATCACATTATTTCTGCAACCAACAGTCCAAAATCGTAAAACGTGGTATTTACTGTCATAGTAACAAAGAAAGGCAGAATATCTTCACAACTGAGAACCTGGAACCAGAAAATGTTTTGAAAATTTGCTCAAGAAAGTCTGAAAAAAAAAATATTAATCATCGTAATGGTTGCTGATACATTTTCTGCCGATCATGCGATTAATGAATTGTTGCAGCTCTACATTACTGTAAAAACTGATATGGGATAGTGTGCACTACAAAAAAGTATAGCCCAGCACAGGCACAATGCGCTCCATATTTCTGCTCCTTGGTTTAGCCATAAATGGACTAAGTTTGTTTATTTTTGTGTCTACCTTATTCACTCAAGACATGAAAACCTGCCCTGCCTTCTTCCCCTAAACATACACCCAAAAGCATAAACACACACACACACACACACACTGTTTGCCTTTGTGTATGCTAGACAGCAGATGGCAGCCTATTATCGGGCTGACAGAGCAGTCATCTGGCATGCACCCTGTCCCCCCCCCACCCCGCCTCCCCCTCCCCCTTTTCTCCCCCCTATTGCTCCCTGAAGACTCCCAGCACAACACAGCACAGCAAGGGTAGGACACTTTTAGGCGGGAGAGTCCACTGCCCTGGGATTCTGTGTGTGTGTGTGTGTGTGTGTTGTAAAATTGGACCCTGGCCTTTCCGCCTTATATAGGTCACAGTTTCCACTCGTGTGTGACAGCCCCCCCGCCCCCGTGAGGTAAGTCAGGCTCCCTCTTGACTGTTGATTTGTTAATTTTTGAAGAAAATCATGAACTAGAAGGTGTCCACTGTATGACCTTATCTGAATTTGAATGAATTACCTCTCACAACCTGAGTGACTAATCCAAGTGTATACTTCCAGGTGTAAAAAGAAGCCTGGACCACTCTCTATAATCCCTATTACAGGCACATACTTGTAAATGTAGGCCTAATCAATATCAGTTTGCTCCGAGAACCAGTGTCCATGTCTCTCTTTGTTACATTGACACCCTTCCCTGTGCGAGACATGCTGCCCAAACACTGGCCCCAGAGTGACTGCCTCCTACAGTCTTTATTACAAAGGATTATACAACAGTGAATATCAAACAGTGGCCGAGGAGGAGGAGGAGGAGGAGGAGGAGGAGGAGTAGTGTGTTTCCCTCACCAATGTCAAGGCCAAGGTTAGGATTAGGTTTGTTTTTTGTGTCCTCTGCAAGGAGGTAATCTGCAGCCCACCCTATAGAGACCTTGCTATGAGGACATGCTGGGAGGCACCACAGAAGAAGACGACGACGACGTATACATGTGACATCTGAGAGCTGCTTTTGCGTTGCCGGAGCAACAGGCAAACCTAACCTTCCCCTTTTGCCAAGGCTTTCAGCAGGCCCTCCATCACACTTCCTCTCGCTTCAGAGAGTTTTTTCCCCCCTGAATCTCTGTTAAATAGGAGGGAGGCCCAGTGTGTTGTGAGGAAAATGAAGAGGGGCTAAAAAATGAGGTAACACACTGAAACAAGTGTCCACTGAAATAAATAACAACATTGACTTGTAAGCATTTACTAGATTTATGATCAAAATTTCACATTAAGCAATATATACATATTTACAGTTTTGTGTGAGTAAATAAACTCAAATAATGGGGGAAAAAAATGCACACAGTGTTCAAATTACATATCTCTTAGGTAACAGCATCAAAGGGAGTAAGGCTACATTTGGCTCCTATGGTGTCCTATGTTACACAAAAAGGTTGCTTTTGTAATTTAAAATGGCCATGATTGGAATTATACATGTTTCAAGCAAAAGACTGGCATTTCATCATGTCATCAAGTTATGCTAAATAGGGCAGAAAACAGCAGCATCTAATCTCTATGCAATTCAATCTAGCAGGTATGTTGCACTCATGGAGCCGCCCCCAATCAGTGATGTCACACCAGGCAGAGTCCCTCAATTGTAAGGGGCTAAATACATTCTGTGACATCACTGTTAAAGGTTTTCACCTTCACTATTCAATCTCTTCAATCTATAAAAGCAGCAAAGTCCAGAACACCTGACACACACACACACACACACACACACACACAAACACACAGGGATATTCAGGACCTGTTTTTGTTTTCCTGTTTCAGAAGTTTATCCACTCATACACATTCTCCCCTAAAGCAGAAACACCAAAGTGAACTCCACTAAGCCACCCAGGACAAAGACAAGGTCCTCTTAGTCGCCCTCGAAGGCCCCGTTGGTGGCTCCCTGGCATTCACTCTTTTTCCGGCACTTTGACAGGATCCTGTGGAGCAAGCCGGGGGATCTGTGTGTCTGAGGTTGGGAGGCCACCTCGGGCTGAGGCAGAGGGATCTGGGGCCTCCGCACCAGGAAGGGGCCCTCGCTCTGGCCCCCATCCATCCCCACTCCTCCTCCAACTCCTCTGCTCCCCCTCTTGTGTGCCTGCAGAATGTGTCCGCTGGGGGACAAAGAGGAAATAACAAACACAAAGGCCCTGTTTATTCCTCATGACCCAAATTCCAGCGCGAGCAGACAAGACAGGCACCGAGCTGTACAGAGGGCTCTGTGTGTGTCGTGTGTGTGTGTGTGTGTGTGTGTGTGTGTGGGCAACTTAAGAGGCAGGCTGTCATGAAAAAAATGCCCCTACTGTCAAATAAACATCAAGAAAAAACACTGACACAACATTTGCTGGAACACAATCAATTGCTTACATAAAAGTAAATCACATTCTGCGATCTGCCAAAAAAAAAAAAATGTATATCAAAAACTAGCAGTATTCCCTTTTCCGTAATGCTCACCCTTTGACGCAATTAGATGCAGAGAGAACATGCATGTGTGCATTTGTGCATTTGTGTGTGGGTGTGTGCACTCCTGCATGTATATGTATTGAGGGGGGTTAGTAATCAGTGTGCTTTGTCAACTAATGAGGGATGAGAGGGGCCACCTGTTCAGGGGTGCTGGGTGGAGAGTAGAGATGGGATTTGGAGTTGGGGGATGTGTGGAGGTTCAGTGTTGGAACAGCTGCTGGGTGTTGTGTGTGTGTGTGTGTGTGTGCGTGCGTGTGTGTGTGTGTGTGTTTACATGATATGTACACATGCACTTGTTGAGGGGGACGTGCGCTGTAGTTGGTAAGGCTTCTCGAGGAGCTGTATACTTACTCTCCTTGTCTGCTGCGTGAATCATTGTTGAAGGATGAGCTTCTCAGAGAGATACTGCGTCGTAGGGCTTTAGGAGGAAGACTAATCTGAAAACAAAAGTGTGTCTGAGTTAAAAAGATTCCACAGATGTCCTGAAATAAACCTGTACACTTTCTCCTGCACAGTCTTATCTCATAAGTGCACGTCCTTTAACTCTCACAGTAGACAGCTCAAACTTGTTCTTCCCTTGATTTGACCTGTATTCTGTTTTATTTCACTTCTGTAATTAGACAGTAGAGCTAACGTTCATTCTGTTTGTTTGTAGAACTGAACCATTCTCTCTTGCTGTAATAAAAATAACAAATTAAGATTTATTTTTTTCAAAAATTAATTCAATATTCTCCAAAATCCATCAATGTAACAAAACACACATAGAGGGCTGAACTGGACCAACCTTTTGTGTGACAGATGTTGCGAAACTGAAGAAAAAAAACAACCTTAATACTACAATTCCCATAATACATTACAAAAATACCTTTTACTTAATGAGCCATTCCTCCTTGAAAAGACTCACATGTTTATGATGCTTAATGTTAATTAGACATTTTCTATTTCTAGCCAAAAAGTGGGACAACCGTGATGACGTCACTGTGACATCATCACGGTTATTTTTGTTTAATTGGAGCAACAGATTAGATTATAAAGCAGGTTTTAAAAGCTGATTGGTACTCCCAGAGATGAGTTAGCTGCGTGTTATGTGCCACGTGGAAGTATTTATGAATGACAAAACAGGAATTATAAAACAAGAAACAATTTGAATTATATTTTTGGAGGACAAAATCATTCTTAGATATTTTTTTTTAAATTTAGATGTCATTGCTTTTTCCTAAGGAGTTGGTTGAGAGATTAGGTGTACATGGATCTTTAAGCAGCATAAAAAAAGAACTGAGTACAATCTGTCCTCTGACATTCAGCAGCAGAGACTACACAGTCCAGTAATGCTGCATTGCTGAGCTCATTCAGGCAGCCAACCAACCTGGCCCAGCTCCATCACACAGGAGGCGGGGAAGTAGCCCCGCTGGCCGTCCTGCAGCCGCCCAAACCACCTCTCTTCCTCATGTTTGGACTGAACCAGGATGACATCACCAGGAGTCAGCTCCACCTCGTCAGGCCAGTGGGGCCTGTATCTGTGCACCACTACCATCTGGAGGACAGAGTGAGGATTACAATCAGATATGAGCTCTAGTTCTGCATTTCAGATTAAATATAAATAATGAGAAGATTGCTGTATTTCTTGTTGTGCATGTAAAAGGTACAGTTCCTGTCTGTGTTCCCTGCAGACTACACATCAGACTCAGTGAATGAAGAGGATTATGGTTGAAGACCCAGAGATTAACTGCTGGGTAGCGAAATAGAAACCTTAAATCTGTGTGTACTCTTCATTATCTGTTCCTCCTAAATGTGGTGCATGTTTGTCAGAGGAATTAGACACATTAAACTCATAATGGAGCCACAGAAAATAGATTTTACATAACATCAAGGTCACATCAATTATTCTCAAGTACATCAGTGTTTACTTTAAATGTCCGGTGTATGTGATGTTAAATAAGCAACCTACTCACAGAGATAAATGTTTCTTCATGCATATTAGATCAGTAAATACATGAAAGAGAATGTTTGACTTGCCTTTTCAGCATCTGCTCTGTATCGATGCCTCGCTGTTTTCCATTAAGAGTGGAAAAGCATCAGCAAAAGTGATTAGTTTTACCATTTGTATAGCTGCAAGTGTGCTTCTAGATCTCATAGAAATAAATGCATGCATACATGAACAGTAGGGAGAGGCAACAAAGATCTATTGAATCATTTATTAATCATCTGTCTCTGATATGACATCTTTCTCTTCATAACAATGCATGTAATGCCATGCTACGCTGCACCTCACTGCATGCATGATTCCACTCACCTTGTGGAGCGAGGACAGTGGTGAAGACTTCAAAGTGTTCATTGCTGTGCATGTAGATGCGCTGCATCTTCAAGGTCTGACACTCGCACACTGACCGCTGCTCCTGCACTCTCCCTCTGCACTACCTTTAAATAAATGCAGCTGACTAATCCACTGCAGCAAAGACTGGAGCAGGACACAAGGAATAACATGTCCTCTGAGGACAAGACACACACACACAAACACACACACACATTCACACACAAGCATGCGCAACACAAGAGAGGACAAATTAAATCTGAGTTTGTGGCAGAAAATGTTTAGATTTTATGACTAATAATTAGGTTTTCTTGATTTTCAGGCTTTTCTTGATTTTCAGGCTTTAATTTGAACGAGACAGCATTTTTAAGCCCGGCAGTCTGCAGGCCAAAAAGTCATGCTTGGCACCTCATCATGCCAGTGACTATTGATCTATGTCCATCTGGTCACACATGGGAGAGAAGTTTTGGGGGCTACTGCCACTGCTCGCCTGACATGGGTGGGAATTCAAAATTTTACCACATCAACAGGAGCTTGATTGATTTCATGTTATTGACTGTGTCCCATTTTCCAGCGGCCTGGGTGAGCAGGGACAAAGATAAATGGGCTTGGGTCGGAGTTGGCGGACTGCTCAACAGATGGTGATTTAAACAACCCCCCCCCCCCGCATCATACACACACACACACACACACACACACACACCCTCACACGCTCTGGTGTAATGAAGCTTGGCTATAAGCTTGTGTCAGCGATTAAAGAGCATCCATCAATAACATGACTGATCACTCTGGCAGACAGTCACATCTGAGCGATGGATGTTTGCTGCAAAGCTACAGATGCTGTAAAAATGGTTTGTTATAAAACTTTGACTGCTTCGGATAAGGATGCATTTTAATAATGGCAAAAATCAACATGAGCGGGAAATCTAAGGTTGGAAATCCTGTAAAAGAGGACGATAGATTAGCTGAGTGAACTGAACAAGGAGAAGTGTGTTTGTTCTGAAAGAGATAAGACCTGTTAAAGGATGAGGCAGATAATTAACCTCATTATCTAGTCCTGAAAAACATTTCAATGAGTAGCAGCCTTTCTGGCTCTCCTTCAAAACAGGTCATTTCAAACCGGCAAAGGCCAAAAAGCATCAGCTGGAGTTCTGATAACAAATAGTAGTCTTTATAAAGTACTGTAATCAGATTTGTATGCACAGAAATGTTGTCCAAATGGATCAACGATGCGGATTGTGGCCGTCAGTAACTCTTTTCACTGCTCCTTATTCAGTGTGATGCCTCCCGCCTAGACACCATGGCCGGAGCAAAGCCTTTACATAACCAAAAAGCTAAGCAGCTTAGAAACCTGATGTGATGTTTACTTCTAGGAAGAAGAAAATACACAAGTGCTGTCCCCTCTTTATGTTTAGGCATGTTCCAGAGCAGCTAATAAAAGGCACATAACATTAAGCTATACAGTTGTATTTTTTTGTTGTTGTAATGAAATCACTCTCGTTACATCATTCTTAATCACTCCGTCTATAATCTTTAATCTGTTGATGAGAAGCTTTCACTGACCTCAGCTTGGGTGAACTGTTTGCTGCTGCAGTAACATTTAGGGGAAATATCCATCACAACTGTTAATAGGAGATATGCGATCAATTCACAGATTTGATCATAATATTTAGAAGCACAACAATACAAGATTTTGATGCATCGACACGATTAGGTAACTTGATTTGATCTCACCTGGGATTTACTTTTGGAGTGAAAACTCTGCAACCATCTGTGAACATTGTCTCAACTGGACAATAATAAAATTTAAAAAAAAATGATGTTGTCTTTAGATATCACTCAAGCCTGCAGACAAGTATTGCCATCAGATGTGAGTCTTTAAACAGGTCAGGCGAGGTCAGAATTTGTTATAAACAATTCATTTAGCTATTTATATTTACAGATACACACGAGTGAACGCCAAAGTTAGCCGAGGGAGACTTTTATAGTAATTTACCTCTGGGAATATCTTTTTAACAGTTCTAATTAGCAGATTTCTTGGTTTAAAACCCCAGCAGAACTGATTACAGACTATGATTCAATTACCTCTAAGCATTTATGTTTAGTAAAAAGGAGCCCACAGAATAAAGTATCTCTTACTCTAATCATGTGACAAAAAAACCCAAAACGCTTTATAAAACACATTTTGAGATAACAGTCAGACAAGCAGCTGTTTGTTTTGTCTTTCAATAAAACTTGGCTGAATTGTATTTGACTATTTCTAGTGTAAATTGTGGTATATTACCTCATACTCTGCAGCATGTGCTTTATATAGTTGACTATACAACCTGAAACTAACTGGACCAGAGAGATTCCATTAGTGCTGATAAAGAGTACATACAAGTTCTCCTAACACTTTGTTTTGTAAGGTTTGTCTCACTGAACCGAGCATCTTTTTTTTATCTCCAACTTCAGCGACTGGACCTGTGACTGAAGTGACTCCTCCCATGTGATGTGCTCATCCTTCATTTTAGCATTACCTGATCACCAGTTGAAAGTGGAGCCCTCTCACCTCCCTTTCCTTTTAGTTGAGCTTCACTCATACCTTCTCACTTATTTTACAACAGCGGTAATTATGTCACGTGTTGTTTTAACAGCCTGTCTTCTGAGGATCCTGAATGTTTGACATTCTGAGGTACAGTCTGATCAATGATTTAATAAGTAAGTCTGAGTCAAATAGAAACATGAACGGAACAACATACATGTTTGTTTTTATTGATTTTTTTTTTTTTGTATTTTACATTAATATTAAAAATATCAATCAGTCTGTTTCCAAGAAGAGTGGGACAGGTGTCTTACAGGTTTGATTATTTATAAACACACTGAAAAAGTGACAAAAAAACCCTGCAAAGTGACACCCCCCCCCCCCCACAGTCACATCTTTTGAGTCCAGTCCAATGTTTTGATGCCCCACAAACACATCCCACACAGTCACAGTCTCTCAGCGCTTCCCAGGTTTCCCTCTCTTCATTCCTCCAGCTTTACCTCCAGCTTTTCCTCCAGCTTTACCTCCTTTTCCACCTTTTCCTTTGCCTTTTCCTGCCATGTTTCCTTTGCGTCCTTTCTTCCCTGCTCCCTTCTTGTACCTCGCCGCGGCCTCCTCTCTGTCCTCCTCTCTCATCTGCTTGTTCACAGCCTTGGTCATGTCCAGCTTTGGTTTCTTACTGTCCATTAGTTTCAGAAGCTCTAGCTGCTTGTTCTTCTCGTTTGAAAAATCCCCAATGAGGGGATCAAATTTCCTCTTCTTGCCTTGGTTTTTAGGCGCTTTCTCTTTGGGCAGGCGGTCCTGAAACCTCCCCGCGGACGCCGTGGAGGTTTTGGCCACACTCACAGCCCGCGCCAGGTCGTCTTTGGACTGCTGGGCAACAGGGGTCAGACCCACACCGGGGAGCTTGATCTTTTGAGCCCTGGCGATGTTTTTCAGCCTGTTGAACTCATTCTTCGCCACTCTCTCCTTCTTCGCGGTGGCGCGTCTCGCAAACTGGTCCTCATTGGGATCCGCGGTTTCAGGCACCTCGATCAGCCAGTCCTTGGTGTCGTCTTTGGCCCTCTTGTAGCCCCAGCGCCTCCTCCACTCCTTCGCGGTGTCATCCCACACCAGGTTGGTCTTCTTCTTCTTCTGTATGCCCTTCAGTTTGGCGAACTCTTCCCATTTCGTGGGAGGTCTGGGCTTCGGAGGGGGTTTCTCTCTGGGCAAAGGGGTCACGGTGTCCGGTAGTTTGACCACTATCGCCTCCTGGACTCTCTCCGTGGGCTGTTTCCAGACTTCGTTGACGAGCAGCTGCGTGTTTCCGCGGGCTAACGCCAGCAGGAACTCGTCTTTCTTCTGCTCTCTGAAATGCCGAGGCTCGACGCGGTTTTTGTCACATGCCAGCAGGTTTCCGATGTCAAACTCCAGGTCGAGCTCCTTGTGGACGGATATACTTTTGAGCTTCTCGGCCTCTTCTTGCTCGGCTTTGGCCAGCAGCGCTTCCACACTGCACGCAGCCATGTTTGAAATGTTCACTCGCTGTCTACACGTGTAAAAGAGAAAACATGTTGGAATGACTTCCGGGTCACAGTTGGCGTGTTGGAGTTCCACCTGTCGCCACAAGGAGGCGACATTTTACCATCTATTTGATCTGTTTCTGTGTTTTTTTGGATTTTATATAGTCTGTTAACATAAAAACACGACAAAGACATTGCACACACATATATATATATATATATACTGTTTTTTATATATCCCCCCCCCCAAGAAAATTTAAATATAAAACAATAAAAAAAATTTAACATAATAATATAAAAAAAACCTGGCCTTTATATCGTCAAGTTTAATTCAGGGTCAGTGCATACATACATTGACCCTGACCATGGACATGTAGGAGGTTTGACGTTTTCATCACAAATGTATAGGGCTGTGTGTCAACCTAAATGTTATGTAGGCACATAAAACCTTAACCGTAATAATTTGGAATAAGAGAAAACATTTTTTAAAAATGTGAAACTGTAACAACTTGGCTGAAGAAAACATCACTGATAGACTTCACCCAATGTCACAAAGTTTTGTAATCCTGTTCTAGGCTATGTTCAGTATTTCTGATTCTGATCAGTAGATCTCTGGTTGGCATGGACTCAATAATGATCAAATTTCCAAACGTTTTAAACCCTTCAGGACCTCTGAATCGTGTCGGCTCCTAACATTAAGCGAGGTGAATTCTTGGCCTTGGAAACAGGAGTTGACATCGCATGATGATGATCGTTTGATTTTTTTTTTTTTTCTACGTGGTGAAAGTAAGACTGATTGTCAACTGTTGTTTCCAAGGTCAAGTTTTGTGTTTCTTTCTGCACTATTATGAAAGAAAAAAATCCCAAAAAGCAAGTACACGCATGTACTTAATATTATTCTGAAGTGTTCTTTTAATGTTTTTATTTAACACAAGTTCCACATTTAAGATTGGGATGAAGTATTTGCATTTGCAATGTATTGCAACGTGAAAAGTGACGTGCAATTCATGTAAAGGTCCGATTCGGGCGGGAGACACCTTGCAAAATTGAAACCGCTCTTCAAACCAAAATCACATCAGTGACAAAACACTACAATGCAGGGCCACTTCAAAAACCTTCATAACTATGAGTCATGAAAAAACGTAAGGGAAGATGAATTTACCAATACAAAAATAATTTGAGTTTCCAGTGAAAAAAAACCTCTTAGAAGGAAAAAACATTATTATAGGATATATCCTCTCATAGATCTAATACCTCTATTTTTGACCCTTGTCTAACCTGGAAGAGGAGAAGGAGAAATGAAGGGCCTTTAACAATCGACTGGTTGTGGCTGAACCACGATGGTATTATTATTTTGGGCTGCAGTAATTATATTCATCACCACACTTGCCATGTGAATGCTAACAAAGTGACAGGCCCAGAGATAAGGTCACAAGTGATGCTGTGTTTGGAGATGTGAAAAGGAAATGAGTAATTAGCGGCTCAATGTCCCCATCCTGAGTTGAAGAAGGCTATAAGGTCCTCAGTGACGTGAATGTATATCGTCTAAAGTCGCCCAATTTAAACAGAGGGGACCACTTAGCCGCTGCTGCTCACTGCCTGTGTCATCCACTGTCTTCACAAGTGTTGACGGGTTTTTGCTGACTTTTGATCCCGTGTGAATTCGGCCAAACAGGATTACTTTTTCATGGTTTCTTTTTTATCACAGACAGCATGAAGTTCTTTCTATGAGCTGTGACCATGGAGCAAAAGCCATTGGCGCCTTCTGTAAATGTGCTTAAAGGATAAATATAGAAATAGTTCTCTCAATAACATATTGCTGCTTTCATGAGATAACTCTCTTTTCAGGGTTTGATATTTTCATTTGTTAGCTATTTGTGGAGCTGAATCCTCTTTGAAACCCCTCCACCAGATCCCGAAGCAAATGCAGTTTTTGACTGAAAGGAGAGTTTTAATCTGTCAGTCGTCACCTGAGTTTACAGTGTAGCTAAAGCAGAGTCGACTAAATAGTGGTGGACCTCATACTTAACTGAGCAATACCACCTTGTATACGTCATCTATTTCAAAATCAATCAAAACTGAAGCATCACTGTTCACCTAGAAGTTCTTGATTGCAGGGTTGACCCTTTTCAGAATCACATTATTTAAATTAGACACAGAATAAAATTATTATTACAATCAATGATGCATTCGTTTGAAAGCATTATCACACACAAAGCTGTACCTGTCGTCCGGTTAAAGGCTATTTCTAGTTTTTTTAAACTGATGTGTAGAGACAATAGTAAAAATACTTCAATATGTATTGGTTGGTTTTAGTTTGTATTATTGTTCTGAAGGCTTTAAAAGACGTGTTATGGAGTGAAAGTAAATCATTTGCCTTCAAATTGTAGCAGAGAAGATGAGATGTAAAAAAAACCATCTATTTTATATTGTAGTTTCAGATGTTCTACTTCCAACTTTAATGCCTTGTTTTACAGTTTCTGTCAACCTCTTAAAAACAGCAAGCATAGTTCAAATAAATATAATAAAAATAGATAAATTCCTCTCAATTTTGCTTCTTCTTGACTGGAATGATCAAGTGCTGCTTCCCTTCCCTTTTAATCGCATGCGTCTCCTTCAACTGTATCTGCAACAAGCAAGGTCCTTGAAGTGTTTGCATCCACTCTTTGTCTCATGAAAAACATGCTTTGAACATGTTCAGTTACGACCTTAAACGTTTGCCATCCAGGTAATAGCTCTTGAATCTTTCATCCCAGACGTCATCTACTCGTCAGTGTGAAAGAGGTCCTGAAATAACTGAGATATGATGACGACTATAGGACCTTTGCGCAGCCGTATGCTCTTTATGAATGAATGGCTCACTAAGCAGGGACACACACAACTTAGACAGGATCATTGGTTTGCTTTATTGAAACGACCACAAAGGCCATTCATGTCTCATATGTAGACTATTCATAAAATAAGTGCACATAAGTGGGTCATTTATTGCCTTTTTTGTGACTTATTTAAAGATTCCAGCTTTTTTCACCCCCAAAGGTTTGTGTTAGATGTTATTGTAACATCTGTTTACTAGATGTCAGCAAAGAAAACATTAGCCGTGTGATGATCTGTGGGCTCCCACTCATCTTCATCCTTAAATATTTGCTGACTGGTAGCCATCAAGATCCATGGATCATGGGAGGGGAAAGATATGACGTTCATTGATGCAGGAACCGGCTGCAGGCTTTAGATTTCTTTCTTTTTTTATTCCAAGAGTTGACCTCTTAGCATCAGAGGCGACGTGGGAGTGCTGGAGGGCAAGACACAGAATGAGTGCAAACTAATCTCAGCACCATCCTGGCGTAAATCAGGCATGATTAGCTGCTGACAGTTTGCTGTATTTATAGTCTTTGTATTATACACTTTTTTGACCTGCTTGGCTGGAGGAAAAAGAAGTCGTTTTTTGTTTGTTTGGTTTTTTTTACACACATTCCTTCAGGATATGTTTCTTGTCTTCTAAGAACAACCTGCTGACTTTTGCTAGACTATTGGGTGAATCTGCTTCATAGACGGGAAAGAACAAGTGATTCAAATGCAGAGGATGATTTTCAAGTCTCAAATATGTCACCAAACAAACAGCGAGCTAGAGGTCTATCACTGCGGTAAATATCTTTGCTAACAGCTTCACCAGACGCTAATGATTTCTCCCGGACTGGAATCAATGAAAAGTACTGTCTGTCCAAGTTAACACAAAGCTGCTCATGTAAATATAAAACAAAATCCACATGACTGCACCGTGGTCTGATAGGCTTATGCACTTTTGCAGATTACAGTAACCACTTCCTGTTTCCATGGCGAAAGTGTGATGAGCGTCCCCCGGTGAAGAGAGTTAAGTTGGCTGACAGTTGAGGTCGGAGCCTTTATTGATCTGCTGCCATGGTTGGGACAGAAACACCATTTGGCTGTGTGCAATGCCTCACAGCTGCTAAACTACCGTATGCTCCACGTGTGAGCTCATCTCGCACTCTGAGAAGGACAAGCCAGAGGATAAACTGTGTTGTATGTTTTTATTTTTTGGGGGTTTTACGGGGAGAGAAAGGACATCATTGGTATTACCAATTGAGTGTATAAAAAAAATGGACAGCAAACAAAACATTAAGGATTGGTTTGTTGACTGGCTTATTTGAAGTGTCAAGATGAGCATGGTGCCACTGACATGTTGGTTTTCTGGAGACAAAAGTGACCATATTTGGATCAGAGAGTAGAAGAATAGCAAGGGCACGCAATATATATCACATATATTTACCAAACATCAGAGTGAAAAAACCCCCAAAGAGCACAAAAAAAAAAAACTGAGATTGAAAAGCTACATCAAGTTACATCAATTTGGTCATTTTAACATGAAGCCTAATGGGTATTTGTCTCAGTTTTGGCACCAGCCTCAAGTGGTCAATACAGGAACTGCAGTTTTTGGCATGTTTAGACCATAGACTGTAAGACTGGCTTCATTTCTAAATAGATACAGATAACTTTATTAATCCTCATGGGGAAATTGAATAAGAGCAACCGAAATGAAATAAAAAAAAATACAACAAAAGGACTAAAAGAAAAAAAAAAACAGGACACAAGCATAAGAGCAGCAGGTTGCAGTCAGTCTAAAGGTTCTTGTTCAAGAGTTCAATTGTGAGCAGCCCAAACGTTGTTGCATGGTATTACCCAGCTCCCTGAAGCCAGGTAACATCTGTTGGCAGGTGAGCAGGAAACCCAGCTGTCGACTGCCGGAAGTGCGTCCAGTTGACACAAGTGAAATAGTTCATCTGTTCCCCAAAAACCTGGCTGGGTTCCTAGAACCAGCAGGACACAGAGGGAAGAGTCCTTGAGATATCATTCCAACCAAATTACCACAATATGTGTGTTAGGAGGTATACGGTCTTGCAAGTGAGTGCATCACACATGCGTCGGTGTGAGAGTGTGTGAGCAGCAGTGGCTCCATGCTGGATGTTGAAGGCAGACAGAGCAGGTTAGTGCCTGGTGGCATGGCAACTTCCAGAGGTCGTCCCTCAGTTTGGTATTCAGCAGCT